TACATAATGAACAACTGATTAACCCGAAAAATATTACCCTTTAACCTTGGTATTTGAGATATGTCAAATTTGGATTTCAAATTTAACCTTTCACAGCTCGTTAACTATCGTGAAATCAATGTTAATGAAGAATTTGAATGATCTACTTCAATACTTTTATTGTAATCTAACGATTATCATAACTTAGGATTACGAAATGATTTGAAATTGTTTCATGGTAAAGTTACCTCCCTTTATCTTTTCAAATCATTTCAAAATTCGAAATGGAAGTGTGGGATCTGAATTTGAAATAGAAAAAAATAATAGTTATCTGTCAATCAAGAATATGAAAAAGATTCCAACATTTGAGAAAAAGAAAATGATACTGCCGTAAAGATTGATCACTTTTTTCTTTTGGCAGATTTTTCTACTTGTTTTTACTTTTACTTAATTAGACTTTTTTGTCTCTTTCGTTATAATAAGGGAATTGTTAACGACATTTTAATTTTAATTTAATACATAAAGTGGTAGAAAGACGTGATGCTAAACACACGTTTTATAATTCCCAATGTCCCATTATATTTATACAATAAATAATCGTATAAGAACCCTAATATTCGCAGAGGACTAAAAATTGACAAATCTGGAAGAGGCACTGCATAGAATCCACACTAGTCATTTGATGCTAAAAATCGAAGAAAAATGTTGTCCATTCATTATTTCGAAACATTAAAAATGTGAATAGAAAAATACTACTTTTCCAAGAAAATATTAATATTAGTAATTTAATGAGTGTTGGGGAAATTTGGCTAGGGCAATCAAAAGAAGAAATTAAAATAAAATTAAAATGAAGCAAGGTAAGTGATTTACAAATCTCCATAATACATATTTTGTCCCTTGCTCCCTAGTCTGTTGAGGCACATCTCGCGATTTACCTTCTTCACGATACTCCAGGAATGAGACGGTGGGAACCCTCAAGGTTGGAGTTCAACCTTTTATTATTATTATTTTGTTCCTTGCAGTCGATGTCCCAATCAACAACACTTCTTTCAAGATTCAAATAACATAATAATAAGCACTTCATGGAGTGGCCAAGTTGGTGAAATAGGTGAGCGTGGAGGTCTTTGGTCACAAGTTCAATTTCCCCTACCAACACTTTTTCGATCGAGTCTGTCGCACAGGGTTTGCCTAGTGCGGTTTACCTGACCGGCGTGATTTGTAGGCTATTGCGTCAGCCCGAGAGTTTACCCATTGCGCACTCGAAGGGTAGCGGCTGCGGATTCTCCTGTCATAAAAAAAAAAATAGCATAATAATAATATTGTAAAACGAATCACATTTTGATTGTACTCTTCTAAGCTAAATGATCGAGCACAAAAACTCCTCAAATCTCGAACTCAATTGCCGGGATTTAAAAATTGAAAATAATATGAAAATTATTTTGACAAAATTTAAGAACGTGAGATTTTAGAAATCAATCATATTTGAATTAATTTGTTATGAGAAAAGTGGAATGAAAAAAGTTTAATCCATCGATTCCATGTGCCTATTCTCAATCTATACACCTTTTGGCACAAATCAATCAAAATTATTAAATTACACCATTTCAGATTGGAACATTATTTGATGATACAGGTTACACCCTCTGTGAAATAACAGTTGCACCCATTCATTTCAGCCTTTAAAATCTTATTAGAATTCATGCATATATACCATTTAATTGCAACTATAAGTAAATAGGATATCATCAATATTTATCGCATGATTAATATTCCAATCATAGGAGAGTATCGATAAATTCCTATCTTTATTAGTCTTGAATTCTCGGAATCACTTTATTTTTTGGAACAAATTCTTAATCACAAGGTAAAATATCCATCGATTAAGCAATAACATCATTTATAATTGTAAGTTTCTAAGTATAGGTTTTGGTTCCATTCCTCGACAATATGAATGGCAATTGTTCTGCGCCATCCGCACGCAACCTCCTTATCTATCGTCGGAGAATACAAATCTAAGAAGCAAGAGTACATGAAAAGGGAATTCATTGGCCCCATCCATGCAACTGTATACAGCAAGTTATACCCTACATGTGGGGTTTACGTTTATTCATGTGAATTTTGATTTATTTATCTTTTTGGATAGCCATCTCTTGGCCTACACTAATATTTATCAGCTCTTCTCAAGAAATTATTTTTATTCAAATTCAAATTTTCAAAATATCTTACTACTGCCACTACCGAGAAAATGTTAGTGATCGCTACTATTTATTATCTATGATAGATTTTGACTAATAATTCATATCAAAATGTAAGCCCCCTTGATTCTGTCATTACATTAAAGGCGAACATCGGTTGTTTCATTTTATTTAAAATGCATTTTCTCTCTCCCTTTTTTTAATCACGCATTCTTCAATAAAATGATATTATAGCGTAAATTAAAATTTTCCTTCTTTTTTAACGACGCTTTCATAAATAAAAAAAATATTTCAAAATATATTTTACCCCAAAATTTGATTTTAATGGAGTCCAAGAAAGGGGCTAAACCTCTTGATTTAAAAACTTAAACCATTAATAATCACATGTATGCATTTCATTTAAATTTTATACTCAATATAGAGTCATACTTGTCTAGACTAAACTGTACCTCGGAAGAAGAAGAAAAACTTGCAAGGTAATACGTGTGGGCCCTTTTCCCTAAGTAATGCTATATAGTATCAATTGTGCTAAAACACCATTTTTTGGGACAGCAAATGATAAGTCCAAATAAGTGAGTCTCATAACACAACATTTAATTGAATTCATCATATATATATATATATCACATATTGCAATATTCTAATATCAGTAATGTTAGATATCACTATTTTTATCATCATGGTGATCATTATGCTGTGTTCAATACGGCCCATATTAGCCTATAATTCCCAGTCCTTAAATTATTAAAGTCATTTGTCCCCACTCCATTCTCATGTTGAAGCCAACAAGTTACTCTTCTTGGTTTGTCTCACTTGAGTTGGCTTTTATGGGATTTTAGATTAAACCGATTTAAAGGAAAATGTCAAGGGAAAGGCACATCAGCCTAAAGGAAATGAGCAACAACGAAATGACAATTATTTTGTTGCTCATCAACTGAGTTATGGTTCAGTGTGTACCGCACCTAATCAATTATATAATATTTAAACGTTGAGAATATCTTACTTATAAGTCAGACTTACTTTTAAATACAATCAAGCATACTCTTAGAGTAACTCATGATCAATGAAGAAGCTTAATAGTAAGTCTCAAATGTAAACAAGTGACGAATGCACTGTTAAACGTAATCAAATAAGCTCAAAATTATTTATTTATTTTATTTATTATTATTTTTCGGGGGGGGGGGGGGGGGGGGGTATGTCCCCGTATCCTGCTAAGACACGACAAAGAAAGACGTATAGTAAAGAAGTACTAGTTATGTCCTCAAATGTTGTTATGTACACTTGATAAAATTTTAAACGTGTCAAAAATTTTCTTGACACTTTTTATGAGATTAAAAAATTTTAACGACTTTTTATTCACATGTTTTATTAACTTTTATGAAAATCTCCTAAAAGATTAATTAAAAGTTTGACAATTAACCTCATACATTATTAAAAGACATTTCCAATTTTCCATATACGTTGCTCAAATAGTTTCAACATATATTCATCAATATCACCGATTAAAAGAAGATAATCTAATTCTCTAGACATGATAATTATAACCATTCTATAATATTTTCTTTTTCCGCTAAACCAACACATTTCCCCAAAGCAAGTACCTAAGTACAAATTCCTTACGAATCAAGTCTTGGCAATGTTCTTTAATCACTCGTGGATTGTATCTAACGAATCAATATACAATAACACCATTTTCAAGTTACATAAAAGAAATCAATTTATGTCGCTCCAATTATGGTTAGTAATTACTATCTTGAGATGAACAATGCACGCAGGGAACGCTACATATAAACAGGAAAGGAACCAACAAGGGAGATTAATTGTACTGCAAGGAATCTCAATTGAGTATGGATTCTGCAAAGTGAATCAAATGTGACATAGAAAAATTTATTGTACTTTTGAAAAATAGTTTCATAACAATATGTTTTTATTTAAAACGGACAGTCCCTAATTATAATGTAAACCCACAACCACTTTATGTATAAATATACAAATATAAAAAATTCAGTTTATATAATTCAGTTTGTATATAGTCTGACAGAAATTAACTTCAAATTGTTGAATCATACATAAAACATGACAATATTCGTCCAGTAACCAAACTGAAATACATATTCAATTTGAAATGGAGTTCTTTAGAACCCATTTGGTATAAATTAAAATTAAATTTTGCTAAAAATAGATGAAATGTGTAATTAAAAAGTTGTGAATTCTATAAAATATATAGTTTAAATAATTATTGACTTTAATTTAAATTAAAATCCGTATCAAACGAGGCTAAATAAGAAATACTAGGAAAAAAAATTGAAAGATAAGAAGATACCAAACGAAACGTCCCAGCAGCCGCATTGTTGGACAGTTTTGTTGGGTCATTCTTTTATTTTCCTTTTTTTCCTAATTGATGTATTTTATGTACTAAGATTAGAAAATAATTAACTTATGGAACATTTCTACTTCTTGTAAAATGTAGTTTAATCAAAAAACTACATTAACTTTCTCTAAAAACGTTACTACCAAATAAGGGCACTTCAAAAAAAATCTAAAAGTAAGTTTTAAATTTTAGAAATGTTAACTTTCTTCTAAACTAAAATTCATGCTGTAGTAACATTCATGTTGAGTTTTTTATTCTTTCCTTGTTGATTAACATTCCCATCAAATTTTATTGAAATCACAATGTAAAACAAACCTAAAAACAGCATAGTATTAAACAAAAGTAGAACAGTAATTTTACTGTAAAGACCATTAACTTCCCTGTATGACATTTGGTAAGACTTTTGTGTATGATTAGCGATATTATATAGAAATGTTCGTACGTATTTATGAAAAGATCCAAAAAGCAGACTATTATTTACATATAATTTAAATAGTACTACAGTGTAATTTAACTTTGTAAAAGTCATGGTTAAAGATCACGAAGATCACACTAAATTAACATCTTTCAATGGTTTAATCATAACTCTCATCATTACCCCAGAATACTTTCTACAGTATAATCATTTCTAGTCTGAAGAACAAATCCACGATTCCACCATACCTTCACCTCTTGGTGCAACATTATCAGACCGCTTCTCGCCGTGAAAATTTGCTGATGAAGAAGCTGAATAAATGAGCTTTCCGCTTGTAGCATTAAGTGATAAACTGTAGTTACTATTATCAGGTGTCATCTGAGGTAGACCACCGTTGTTTGAAGGATTCTTGCTCCAGTTTGTTGCATTGTTATCATCCCTCAATGCCATTTGATCCGAAGAAATGAGATTTGGAAGCCCAGAAACGCTTGTGTTAACATGGCCATGACCTAGATTGAATTCACCCAAGCCCCCTATTTTAACATGTGAATGATCATCTGATGGAATTTCCAATGAAACTCGAGGTTTTGATGAGCCTAGCATGGCTGAATTGGCAAGTGGGAAAATGTTGGAAAGGTTTGAACTTTCAGTAGCCAGTTGATAGTTAACGGAAGGAGTTAAATTACAAGCACCGGTAGATGAAGAACCAGAAGTTACAATATTGTTAGAACTTGAACTTAACAAGGAAGAAGAGGATGCAGAAGTTAGAAACGGGGTTTGTGACTGAACTTTTTGTGCGAAAGGCCGCAGCAGATAGGGTGGTTGTACAGTGTCCATGAAGCTAGATCTCATGCTAGAGGGTGTACCAAAAAGATCAAGTCTGCTTCTTGAAAAAGGCGAGGAAGTGAAGGGTGGCGCTGGGATACCTGTAAATTCCTGAACCATGGCTCTGAAATTGGTGGTGTCTGTGGTTAGCACAGTAGTCGGTGCACGCCTGGAGGCTCTTGTTCTTTTCTTCGGGTTACGCGCTGCCGTTTGATTCTGGCCCTGAATCTGATTTTGATTATCAGATATTGTGGTATCTGCAGCCACCGGTGGTGCACCACTTGTATGGTTGTCTACACCGCTAGAGAATGGAGCTATAGGGGAGTGATTAGTGAAAGAGGCCGTAAAATTAGGTGAAGCAAGTATGGGGTTGATCATATCAGTGGAAGTAGGCTCAGATCCTAGTGTTTTGGGCCATACCATGTTTGCATTGAAAAGGGAGCTCGGGTGTTGAAATCGTAGATAGTATGAAAGTGGGTCAAACACCGCTGGGTTGGAGGTGTGAGGTTGTGATTGAGACTGCAGTAGCGGTGGCGGTCGTGGTGGGTTAGAAATGGGGCCAACATGAGTTGTTGGATGATTCATCAAAGCTGAAATCGAATCGGCGCGTGAATCGTACTCTTCATCACCACCACTAGATGACTGCAAACTCCCACTGTTGCCAGAATCCATTTCTTCTTCTCTCTCTCCTCCTCTCTTTTACAGCAAGAAAGCAAATTCTACAGAGAGAACACCAACAAGAAAAAGGAAGGAATAACGCGAGGGGGAGACAGATATATGAAGATAGATTTAGCTTGCTTATTTGTACAGAACCATTAAATAGAAGAAGCTACTACGAAAAGAGATCTAGAAAGAGATATTTGCCAGAAAGTAGCCATGATTAAAGCACTGATCTGCAAAGAAGACAGTGCATACTTTTTTCCACCTTCTCGTTGATAGAAAGGGTTTTCTATAAATAAAACCACAACATCTGATGAAATTGATAGTTGCTGAACTGGGATTGTCTGTTTTTGCAGGAAAACTTCTTGTTTTTGCCTTGTATCGGTTATGGTTGAATTAGGGTTGCTTCAAGATTCAAGAGAGAGGGAGAGAGAAAGAGAGGTTTCTCTTTAACAACTCTTAAGAGAGAGAAACGGAGGCGGCTTCCTCTAATGTTTTCCGCTATAAAGATCAGAGTGGAGTCTCCATGAGAGAGAAAAAGACTGTATTAGATAGAAAATGAAAAAGAAAGGAGTATTTGAGACATTTTTTTTTATGTTAAAAATAAAAAAATTGAGTACATATTAAAATGAATTATTGAATAACTGGATTCAAACAGGCGTATTAAAAAAAAAAATCTAGCTTTATATTTATTTAAAGTGTGAAAGGTTTGAAAAAGGCACATGTAAAGGAATAAGAAAAGAATAAAATCTTTAAATTAATTGCGTCAAACGAAATTATAAATCACTTTTTTTTAGGGGATAAGGAGGACGAGGTGGAGCAGAAGCCAAATTGGGGGGATGGTTGTTGAATGTTATAATTAATTAATTATATAGGACACTATGAATTAAAGAAACAACAGAGAGGTAGCCACCAGTTTTACTAGCTAGCAGCCAATCTAACTTTTATGTTGTCCATAATGTCAAAATACATAGCCATATCCATATTTAGCCCCTATTTGATCATGAGTAGAAGCAAATTTTTAATAAATTTTAATA